CCCTCCCCCCAACTCCTAGTAGAAATTCCCTGCAAGGCTGACGATAGAGTGAACGAATTGACAGAATTAATACAAAAGAGGTGAGTGAAGACACCTTTTCCTTGACAAAGAAAGCAAATTTCAAGGAGGATGATGGTAAAAAAAGTTGCAATTAGAACCAAAGCATTTAACCAAATCTTAATTGCGATTTTGGACTCATGGTTCAAACTATTCTGTTAGGTTGGCAAAGAAAGACGAAGACTGCTACAAGTCGATTCCTACATGTGGAAGATATAAGGTAGACTTGAATAAATATTGCCGAATAAACACGGCCGATTTTAAGCCACATTCATATTAGTGGTAGTTAGGAGGGGATTCAAGTTTTAAACAAACAGGAAATAGATTTACTTATTTCAACTCCATCAAATTTATCCTATTGGGAAATAAAAACGCTGAAAGACATACCATTCAACTAAACAAACGTTGTTGAGCAAACATTAAAAGTATACCCTCTAGCAAATGTAACCTACCATTTTCTATCGGGAGAAAATGACTAGGAGTCATTTAATGAAAAAATCCAAACCAAATTTCAATTTTTTTGTCTATTAAGAGCAATAGATTCATTATTTCACAATGCACGTATAGTAAATAAAGACAAATGTAAAAATAAATTTTGAGAATGAAAAGCGACAAAACAAATTTAAAGAACGAGGAAAAAATTGTTTAAAACTGATAAAATAACTGCCGGGCCAAAGTAAAATTCTTTAAATGTTCCTATTTCAAATAGACCTCTCTCTCCCGGTTTGCATCAGTCTGCCACAGAGGTAACTCAGTAAAACGACAAGTATGTCGATTTGCACTTTCTAAGACCAGTGATTTATGAAGCTGCAAAAATAACAATGGACGAGTTCTTTCCAAAACGGCGTCCATTTTACTGCCAATATGATACATGTGCTGCTTGACGCCATTGAACCAAAGATGACTCGTCTGGAATGAGGGCGAAAGAGGGATAAAAAGAAACGCCGTTAATCCAAGTCACTTTATTGCATAGATAAGGGGTCTAAAAGGAGCTACAACAAGTCGTCTTGGCATTGTTGTTGCTGCTTGGGAGATCAAAACACCAGACTATGGCACCTTTGTCCCGAATAACTGACAAACTGTCAAGGCTGATATGCACCCTCGCCTCGATGAGGCTTGCAACTCTTAGTGACAGCCCACAGGAATGTATTATAACGAGGCAAAACACGAGCACTCCAAATATGAGCTTTTTGTCTTCTTCCAATCAGCTTCTTTTCTAGGCAATAAACCGGCTTACGAAGAGATCGAGGTACCGAAACGAATAACAGTTCTTTTTATCAACTTTATTTGTCTGAATCTTACGAGAAACTTAAGTCGAATAATAAACCACAAATTGGCTGAGTCGGATTCTAAAATGCTGAAAAAATGAACAAAAGTGGGGCGGTACCAAAAAGATTAAATTTGTGGATGATAAGCCAAAATAAACTCAATTTTATATATACACTAATTAATTAAGCAAATAGTGAATCGATTTGGAAAGCCTTTTATTAGCTAAACTGCTATTGGACAGGGCCAATATTATTCAACAAACCAACGATTAGTAAAATACGTGCACAAAAGTAATTACACGAAGTTGTCTAATGACAATTATCTTCAATTTCACAAATAAGGAAATCTCTGATCTAGAATATAGAATATAAGCAAAAAAACACCCTACTCAAAAATCATGTTGCCAATTTTTCGAAAGAAAAAAATTTTGTAGAACCATTAAAAACGCAATTCAAAAGGGTATATGAAATTTTGCTTCGAATTGTTGTTTGAAACATCTAACAAAAAGATATGACAGTTAAAAAGACCAAAATTTCAGCTATCGAGTTGGTCGGCATTGTGGTGTCAATCAAGAAACATTAATGAAGAGAATTAAGTCGAAAAAAATGGAAAGGAGAAGGGTTACCAAACCAAAGTAGCCGATAAATTAACGAATCCAAAGGACGTTAGCAAGTATGTTACACTCATTCAAACTAGAGTGCTCTGGAGCATGATTAGTGTTGGTTGAAAATAAATAGGGAACTTCATTATTAACTAACCTGAATAAAGAAGAGTTTTGGTTTACCAGCCAGCGACGGACACGTATTACCGCGAAATGGATGAATAAGTTGATCCAAATGAACTGGACCATCTGTTGCGTAAATTGAGCCGCCATCATCACCATGAGTTAAAATAACACAAGCAAAACAGTCTGCATCCTCGTGACTTGCAGATGATTCTGAAACATAGAAAACATGACAAAGTAACAGAAAATTGGAATAATTACCATCTTCGATTATGTGCAAAAGTTTGGCAGCGGTAGGATTTTGAAATGTCTTGACATCGAAATCAAGAAAGTGGAAAGTTTCCTCTAGTTTGACTAGGTCTACGTCTGAGCCTGGTCGCCTGGGAAGACAAAGAGCAGGTTTAAAAGTATCGACGGAGATAATAAGACAAGTTCCTCTACGGGGAGCACGGGTCTTATACACAAAGGAAGCTGGTGGTCTATGGGATAAAGTAGGTTCAACGGATTGGCATTTGAAGAACGTGGAAGAATGAGAGTTGGGATCAAAGGCCATTAGTTTGCAAGAGAAAAGGGAATTCTCGTACATGCTATCGGATGATATTCTCTGAATTTTAGCAGCTGGGGCGATCTGAGCGCTATCAACGGGGGGTAATTGGTCGGAAACACACCGATCGCAGCTGCTGTGGGAAAAGAATAAGATAATATGAAGATAAACATACCTTCTATCTGTGAATTCCAAATCATTATAGACTAGTGGGTTTATCGCTTCTTTTTCTCGCCACATTTAAATGTCCTCAAAAATAAAAGGACACGAGTAATAAAAACGGACAACCCAAACTGGGAATCTGGAGTTTACTGTTGGCGGTAGCTTGTGAACTTGAGCGTTTATTTGATATAAGTTTCAAAACCGATTTCGCTGTCTTATCGTAAATTTAATATAATTTTATTAATTTTTGCTTTTGTGATTTTTTTATCTTTTAAAAGAACGATCTATTAAAATACTCAGGCTTTCATCATATACTTAATTCTTCTAGAAATTTTTAATAGACCTCCACATTTCCTTTCCCTTTTTGGTAAATCTTCTTTGATCACCAGATAGTATATTTATAATATTAATGATTTTTCACTTGTATTATCATAGTTTGTTACCAAAAATCCTAAGGGCTATGCTTTTCTGCACAAAACAGTAGCGGTTTTTTGAGCAATTTGAAGATTCGTTAAACCCATTGATGGTTAAAGTTTCTTCAAAATTTTAATAGCTGATATCAATCAATTTAATTATCAAAGAAGCATAAACTCTAAAAATTATTGTCGCTGTTAATATGAGTCCAAATTGCAGAACACAAAAAATTTAGAATATAAGGTACATTTAATCTTATTTCTCGGAAAATTTTCTCTGGCCTAACTTTTCCTATCTAATTGTTCTAAGAAATTAGTAAATCTTCATCTGTAGTTATTTCAATTAAAATTGCTATCAAACCATTTTTTGGTAAATTTATCAAAATTTCGTATTCTATGTGTCGACATTATTTCATCATATGAAATGCCGCTATCTTGCTGTGATATGTCAATAGGCGCCTAAAAAGTTATGCGGTTTAGTTTATTGCCAACGTCATCCTCACTTATCTATTTTATTGCAATTCATTGCTTGCCAATTAGTCATTTTTCGCAATACTTCAAGCATGTTAATCTCTGCTGGAAACCTTGAGAGAGCTCGGCACTACGCGTCGGTGTCCTTCCTTAATTCCATCCAGCTTCAAAGGAACTGCAACACAATTTCACAATTCTATGTTAACGTAACTTTGTAATAAGTATTACATGCGCTTTGCCGAAAATTCAATGTTTTTTCCTCAAAATTATTAGATAAATCAATGTCAATAGACCAAGCAAACAACTTTCACTATTATTACAAGATAGTCCTATTATAATACTGCTTTAAGCAAGGTTACCGGCGACGGATAACACAAGCATATTTGTTCGAGCAGGTTTTGCTTAATGATGAGGTTTAAAATTGTGCAATGTAAACGCTTGCAATGATATAACTTAAAGTCTGTACGTATATTATCATATATTCCATGAAATCATTTTAGAACAAAATTTTTAATATTGACAAATGCCAAATGAATTATAATAATTGTGCCAGCATAAAATATATTCCAGTGACTCGAAATAAGAATTAATATTTGTTCTAAATGATAATCTAAAATCCTTAGAATAAAACAAATCTTTCGTCTATTTATTTTGCTTATATATTTAAATCAGATAATTTTATTTTAAATCTCATCAATATCAAATTGATTTTTTTTCTTTTTTCATGGCTTGTGTTTAAGTGCATTTTAAATACATCGTGTTATCTCAAGGTAAGGTATATAGGTAAATTATTTGTCTCCAAAATATCAAGTCCATAATGTCAAAATTGTTTCCTAGGTGCTTCTAAGATTCAATGAAAGACTTATTATGCAATTTTTATGCCAGTTTAAGTAATTTAAATTTTATTTTTCAGATGGCGGAACTGGGGAATTTAATAGAATGCCTTCGCGATATTCTTCCAAATAATTACGCGGATGAAGCTGACCCCATACTTCGCCTACGCTCGTATATCGAACGCTACCTTAATCGTCTCGATGATAATGCGGATTTGGCCAATTCCATTCAGGAATTGGAAACACATGAAGCTTATGTCCTCTGTTCCTTGCACCTTTTAGATTCGTTAGCTCGCCTCGATGCTCCAAACGCTAAAGAATCACCTTTATTTAGTGTCTACCAATTGCGGCAAATTTCTCAATGCTTAGAATTTGTTGTCTGTCTTGGAATATATCCCCTTCTTTCTTCTGGCGTTTCTATGCCCTTGGATTTGCGACTTGATAACTTTGAGAAGTTTAAATGTCCTTCTTCGAAAAATCACGAAGTTCGGATCCTAATTCTGTCCAAGATTTCTAACTGTTTTGATAGTCTTCTTAACTCTCCAATTGATGCCCTAAAGGATCTTTTTTCTATTAACAAATTTCTTGGGGATTATCTTGCTGTTCTGTTTCAACTGGGCTTCGGTCCTTTCCCCAAGGAAATGCTCAGTTCTAAATCAATTTTGGATGTCATTCGTAAATCACGAACTCGTCTTCTTGATATCGTCGATCGATTACCGCGTTCGTTAGCGTTTAAGCAACTATTTCTCTTTCAGTCCGGCTTCACTCGGAAGAAGGTATGCTTTCTTTAATACTGTTTCTTAGTACTTTTGGTTCGTGAAATGGTATCGCGCATACAGCTGAGATCAATTTAAATCTATGTAATGGGGATCATATTGGTCGTTTTATTAACTAGCTCTCATGGCGGATTTAACTTAACCACTTTTTAATCAATATAGGCTGGCTCCAGTTCCCATTTTGATTATTAACAGCGATCTCTGGCAGAGATTAATAGCGATCTATGCAAGCTGTAATACGTTTGTGGCGTTATAATTTTTTAATCTTGTTGACATTCCATTGGGTCTGCTTCTGGCTCTATTGCACTTTGCCATACTAGGAAGTTTCTATATCCCCTAGTTGTCGCTGGGGAAAGAGGCAAGTCGCTAGTCAGTCAACTTTAATCACTTTATTAAACAGATAATGGCTTTATATTGGAATTCATGTTGTCTTTATTTTGTTATTATTGGTCAATAGATACACTGTTGGACCAATTATAGTCTTTGTCTCAAACAATTGTTTACCTGTTATCATCGATGTGCCTCGAAATAAAACGGGAACCGTGTGGTTTTGGGCTTTGCTTATCGCCTTTCCATAAATTTTGAATAAGTTTTCTTATTTCAATATATATATATTTCTTTATCTTTAAAAACATGCTTTAAAGCTTATTTTATTGTCTTATATTTTTATTACTTTTCTAAACTAGTCTTCAGATAAGGCGACTCGTGCTCCAAAGTGGCTTTGTAGCGCCTGTGGTCGACTGATAACCCGCCTTTTTATGGCTCGTTCCCAAAGTACTACCGGGCAATCCGCCTTAAAAGATCTAATAGTCGGTGTTGTAGATGTCCATTCTACCGATCCTCGACATGTTCCAGCTGTGGCCTCCTCTCTAGCCCATATTCTTGCCACTCCACCACAGGCCTGTTCTTCCTCCGACGAATACTTCACCAGTCTTTCCTTTCAAATCACTGATGTTCTTTCCACGTCCAGAACTAAACCTGTCGGTTCTAAGGACGTTTTACCTCAAATAACCCGATTAGTTGCCGTTAATACTATTCATGCCATCTGTGAGAGAGATCTTGAGCTTGGTAAACGGCTGTTTTTGAATGAACTCATTTCCAAATTAAACAAGATTATGTCGACCGATGAGAGTGGCGATGTCAAGATACCGTCAGGGGTTATTGATATCTCTGATGTGGAGGAAGTACTCTCTGCAGAAGACTTGTTCTTTGTTACAGACTTTATCTCTGAAGTAAGTGAGGAGTTTATAATTTGCCTTCTTTAATTGTATTCTATTTTTTAAATTAATTTCTTCTCTGTAGCTTTTAGACACCAGGCATCCATCACAAGCGCTGTGCAATCTCTTGGCAAGGTATTCTCACATTTGGTTTCATTTCTGCTCTCTTCTCAAATTGGCGTCTCCAAGTGGGATTGAAGGAGAGGTCGAGGAGGAATGCCAAATTAAAGAGGCATCTGATCCCTCTCCTGTTAATGAATTCAGGTGAGTTGGCACCGTATTTCTGATGAGGATCGATGTGTTGAGTGGAGCAGATTTAAATGACGGGATCATCTTTGATCCCGTAATTTAAGGTTTACATCCGCTTTTTTTGGTTTTTTGTTCTTCCTTTTATTTATTTGAGAATCCTCTGGACTAATGATGTTAGGGTGTTGTCTCAAGCATTAACAATTTCTAATGACTTAAATTTGTTATTTTTTTCAGATCAAGACTTCTCTCAATTCTGTCAAATCACCTCCTTTATCCGGAGATATCTTTTCGGCTCATTCGAGGCTGGATTCACCTGCCTCCACTTGACCTATCTACATTTAAACCCCTTTCTTCATCGGAAGTCGATTCGTTTTTGTTTCCTCTATCTAGTTCGATAATTCTTCGTCCGGCTTCTCTAATTGTTTCGAGTTCATTAGAGTCTTCTATGCCTCAAGCACCGTTTCGTGTAACCAGGACAGCTGAACCTTTATTCCAACATTCTCTTGAAATGATTTCCGCTAGAATTGCCACTGTAATTGACTTACTTTCATCACCTTTAAACGTAAATGTAATTGGAGACGGCTCTACGGGAGCAGATGAGGAACAAAAGTTGGAAGAAAAAGCAGAACAAATGCTTAACACGTGGACGAAGGGATATCAAGAAGACTCTGAGCAACGATCTAATCTTGCTGCAAAGCTACTTCTCAGTCTTATTTCCGACATTAACTCTAGAGTTGTGGGAGATATTAATGAAGAGAAATGCAGCATTCAGGTCGTCATTCAGCCGACGAAGTTTGATAATGAGAGAGCACATCAGGACTTCTCGATTCCATTGAGTGCCTGCCTTCTTGCGAACTCCATGCTTGAATGTCTGGATCCTTCAAATCTCTGGCCATCTGAACCTGCTTTAGCTGTTCAACTAATATCGGTAAAATAGTCTTACTTGCACCTGTATTTCATATATATATATATATATATATATATATATACCCTTTTCAAGCTACATGTCCTTTTTTCTACTTTTAGTTAACCCTATCACGACTTTGTGCAGTAATTGATGTGATAACCGAAAAGAATCTACTCAAGATTGCAGAGGAATCACTTAATCTCATTCTTGGAATAGCAGCCTTCTTCGTCAATTACATGGAGGTAATCTATTAAACCCTAAAAATCCGCGGTCGCTGCTATTAAAGTTTTACGCCCGCTTTTTTTCTTTGTAGAAGGGAGATAAGGTGTCAACCGAAGTGCGTGACCACTTCGTTGAACTGGTTCCTTTAATGCAACGAGTTGAATCCTCTTTTCCAGCGTCTAGCGCATCGGCTGAATTAGCTCAACAGATCAGAATTGCACTCTGTACACGCGGTGCCTTCCCAATTCCATCACAAAGTCCGCAGCCCAAACCTGCTTCCAATAAGTGCCTAATCGAAGAGTTATCTTGGACTTCCTCAACAGATAATCATTCAGTCTCCCCATCGAATCCAAAGACTGCTGAGATGCCTCCTCAGTTGACCGAAATTTTCAAGTTACTAAGTGACCCCTTAATTCCAGTTAAAGGTCATGCTCTTATTGAACTGAGTCGATTGCTTGAGTCTAAGGATTCCTGTATTATCGGGTTTGAGGATAAAATTTATGATGTGAGCTGAAAGTTTCCTGATCTTTGCTTAGATTTTATGATAAGTGTTTTATGAGTTTTGTGAAAATTTGTAGACTCTTGTGGAATGCATGCACCACGATGACAGTTATATCTACTTGAATGCTATTCGAGGTCTCTCCGCCATCGGAAATGCATTCACAGATCGTCTTCTTCCCTTTCTTCTTGATCAATTCCTTAACAAAACTGCCAATGTTGAATTTCGACTGAAAATTGGCGAGGCTATTGTTCGAGTTTTGCGTGAATTGGGTTCGTGTTCTCTTATTTGAAATCGATATATAAGCTTTTGTATTTGTTTGGGTTTAAAATATTTCCCTTCGTTGTTCACTCATCCCTCTGACCCTATTGTGAGTGAAGTGGATTTTGGTCTTTATGCTTTGGAATTTAATTTTTGCTATGCAGTTTCTGCACCACTGGCTTAAGGTCTTTTTTCTTAATGGAATAATGCATATTGCATACTTATGCATATTTAATAGTATCATCCTGCGAAAGGCTAATTTAGGTTAAAATTGTCTAACCCTTTAATACCCGAATATTTTTTTGCAAAATGCACCCAATCGCACTCATGCGTGCCTCATAGCAGACAGATGCCGACGATGTGATGAGTTTTGGTGGTGGCATCAGGTGAAGGTTATAGACACGTATTGGACGTGTTTCAAACGGCAATAGTAGCGCCTTCTGTTACGAGTCTGTTGTACCAATGGAGCTTATTTTGGAAGAGGAACGTGTACGGTCCTGCAGGGCGTTTAGAGGTTAACCTAATCACGTGCTTGGTGGAAGATTTCAGCGTCATCCATCCATTAACAATACTCGTTAACATAATTATGAATAAAAAGTGGACATCCTAATTTCAGAAAGATTTATTTAAGGACTTGTTGTCAATTGTTCACGAAATTGGTATATTTATTTAAGTGGTTCCTCTGCAGAATTTTAAGTAAATTGTGAAATTACTGGTCTTTGGTTTTCACTGCGGCAAATTTTAACTTTAATTAGGCGCTTTTTTCGTAATGCCAAAACGTCTTCTCATCGATATTCATCTTTTCAAATCCGGCTTCTTCAACTTTCTTCATTCGTTGAAATAGCAAAAGATGACTCAAATCACTTTGCACAATAACTGACCACATTTGATCTTTTATTTAACTTCACAGGTGAAATCGCTCCGAAATACCGAGATTCAATTGTTGGAGGACTTATCACAGCCTCTAAAGATGATTCCGAGTTTATTCGAGCAGCTAGTCTTTCAAATCTTGCCGAAATATGTCGGCTTCTGGGCAAATCCATCCAGTCTGTCGTCTATGAGGCAAGCGAATATTTCTCTAGTTGAATAATACACCTCATTACTCTTTAAGTGATTGCCAATGTTCTGTTAAAGGTTTATAATATGATGGAATACTGCTTGAAGCATGATAATTCAGCTCTTGTTCGAAAATCAGCAGCTTATTTGGCAGGAGGCTTATTCCGCGCCGGTCCGTCCATTTCTCGACGTGATCAACTTGCTCGTTTACCTGGAGAAATTGTCAGAGACACTCATCGTCTATTGAGGGACCGATCAATGATTGAGAGAGATGAGTTAGTGCTGGAACAACTGGAGGCAGCGATGTTTGAAGTTGACGCCTGTGCTCGCGAAGCCGCGTTTCGTCCTGCAGCTAAACCTGGAGATTTAATTAAGGAAATTCGGGTGTTGAGACCCTTTGATCAGTAATTGTGAAGATTATTTAAGGTTGCAATATTTTTGTAAATATAAGTATTGATTTTCTGAACTGTTTTCATTTGCTTTTGAATAACTTTTGCCAATGTACATATCGAGAAGCAGTTAGACGTGTTTTTTCGTGAAAATAAACAAAGTAGGAATTGCTAAAGGAGTTTGAGTCTTGTCAAGTAGGAGTGGGTGGGGGAGATTTGACGCATATGAGGTTTCAAAGTAGTAGTAAAAATATATTAGAATGGAGGGGTGGAGGGTGATAATTATTAACATGTCACATGGGTTTGACACATTGAAATGAAAGCAAAAAGTTGAGTAATAGGTCTGATAAAACATGAGATTAACTATGGACGTGATTAATTCCTTTTCAGACATCTCTGCCATAGCTGCGCCTTGAAAGTTCACTCAAGGTTAAATCCAAGTAATGATGGTGACGAAAAAATGAAGGAAAAGCATTTTAGGCATCTAAATATTAAAAACAAATAATTGGATGCGTATCTAAGGGAAAATACTCCGTTGTCCTTAATAAGTGTCAACATTCCCTTTCAATAATGTCTAAAATAGAAGTTTTATTTATTTCAAATGGTAGGGGTCTTGATAATAATCATTGGTCCTTTAGCTGACTTCAGGCTTAACAGAGGGAAGGAACTTCAAAGTGAGAAAAATTCTAGAGGAGGAACAGAAAAGAGATAGGCAGATACAAAGTCAAAGAAAAGGTAAGATGAGTACTGTGTAAGTGGTTTAATATGGCATACTGTGGGGTCATGGTAGTTTGAATTCAAAAGTCAACTGCCGAATAATAGACTTTTTGCTGTATGAGTATACGTTGTCCAGGGTGCACCACGTGGAGGTAAGTCTATCGCACACAGCAGAATTAAGTAAGAAGTAAGAAATAATAAGCGTTGCGGAACTGTAAAAACGCTTTATTTTTGATTGAAGCTTTTGGCACTCCAATAGACTTAAATTTCTCTAGACTTCGTGAAAATTTTTGGAAGTAATTCTTAAACCAACCAATACTAAAAATGTTTGATTATTTCAGAATTGGTAATTAAGTCAGAGCCTAATTAAAAGGCACCTTTCACCTGCTGATATGAAATTTATTATTATTAACTCATAAAATCGAGTTGGTTCTTCTTGAAACTGATATTTTAAAGACTACATAGTTTTGGATAGTCATTGACTATTATTGGTCAGGTTGAGGTTATTTTGTATGCTCTATATCTGGTGAACGCGATGTCATATGCAAACGCTGGATTTTCTGATAATGATGTAATATTTCACAATACAGACCAAGTGAGTTTTTATTTAAAGTCTATTTTAAGAACTTACAATCAATTAGCCTTGAAGGCAACATTGAAATTCCAACAGCCCAATCTACTTCGAGAGGAACACTTGATGAACCCATCAAAAAGACATTCGTAATTTACTGCTTTTACTTATTATGCCTCAGTTAAGAGATGCTAAATCCGTAGGACGAAAAATTGCCCACGTCATATTCCCACGACGAGGTCACGAACTTCTCAGTGATTGTAGGTGCTGTATTTTTCTTACTTATCTTGCTAGGGGATCTTTGGGGACCTTTCTTCATATTTATTATCCTTGCACTGTAAGTTGCAAATTTAAAGTTTATTTATTAATTTTAAGGTATACGTCTTTACTAACTCGTGTTACAAGTGTTTCGTTTATCATTCTATTTTCCATGTTCCAATGTCACTCGAAATTCTGTTTTAATATGTCATTTTCGCTCAATCGTCTTACTTCTTCTTATTTTAAGCAACCGACGATAAACCATTGTATTGTAGGATATAGTTTTGGCACTATATGGTTTATTAACTTATTTGACTTGGCTTGGCCATAGTGCCTCGAAGTTAATGAGCTCTCATACTCAATTTATTTTAAGTTGGATTTTAATTACGATATTTTATCGCTATTAAAGTTATGGCGCGAAGCACCACATCTCTTTATGCTTATATTTTGTTTGTCTGGAAAATCAGTGTCAGGCGTGAAACTACGTCTATAAAAGAAACAGTTGGAGATACCGTTACCGATTATTTATGGTTCCACACAGTTGAAGATATTCTAGTACCGTACTTCAGATTGAAGTTATTGCTCTGATCAACGTTTTATCGTCAACCATTGTTACGTATCACTTTACAGGGTTCTACAACTTAGTCACGGACAGAAAGAAGATGCCGGAGCACCACAATTTGCTCAAGTGTTCGTGGTATTTTGGTTAGGAGTTTTGACGGTGTCCATCAACACCAAACTTCTTGGAGGCAATCTGTGAGTTCTTTTATCCTCATATTCCCCCTTTTTTCTTAGCTGAAACGACTACTAATATACCCTCTTTTTGTTTAGATCTTTTTGTCAAACTGTCTGCGTTCTTGGTTACTGTATTCTCCCCTTGGTTACAGGACTAGTTATTAATGTCATCATCAAGCTATTCACTTCAGCTAGCACTTGGGTTTTGTGTATTCGTCTCGTGCTGGTTTTCGTCGGTCTCTGCTATTCACTCTTTTCTGCTTCGACATTCTTGGCACCCAATTCAAGGCCCAATTGTGTTGCTTTGGTGGTTTATCCACTCTGTATTTTCTACTTCTTCATCGGATGGCTGGTATTTGTTAATACTGGATCAACGAGAATATGAATTTGATTTGCATCGTTATTTTACATTTATAAGCAGACATTTCCATTTTTCATTGGCATAAAGACAAAAAAAGTAATATAGTACAACCTGATTTCTCTTTTTTTAATCATATTTTTTGTACAATTGCCATATTTACTTTCCATTTAGAGAATGTGGTTTAATTAACGGCTTATTACCTCATTGTTCTTTAGATTTTGCGGAAAAAATGATCAATTCAGTTGCTTTTTTTGCGTCGATGGATTACTATATTGATGTTGGGCGATTGATAATCCAACTCATTTATTGTTTCCAGTAAACGAATTTGTATAATTTGATAATGACAGACAAGTTCTCTCATGATTTTGGAAATACAAATGTTAATGCTTTTCGGAACAAGTCGATATATCACATATCAATTAATTACATCGATCTACAATAATTCAATTTAAAACAAACAGTGCACTGATCCACGTTACGAATCTATAGATGAATCGTTAATCAAATTGCCATTTCAAAAGAAGATTCTTGTTGATGCTCTTTCTCAATCGCTTTGCATGTTTAGTGGTAGTCAATTGATCTGGGCAACTTATCAGCGCACCACACATATATATACACAACAATTACGAATTTCGCCTCTCGTAATTCATTTTCCGAAGCATTTCCACGTTCAAGCATTTAAGAGGATACATGTACGAATCTATCACCTGCCTCTAAGTTCACTTGGCCTCTCGCAACAGTCCTGGGCCTTAATCAATAGCAAAGATGCTTCAAAACTTTAAAGCCCAGAAATCTGCCACCAGTGTGTGCATCACGTTCAGTGAATACTGACCTTGTGACTTTTCCGTCCTCTACTCTCTGAGAAACCACTATAATTTGTGTATTGTTATTAGTAATAACCACAAACCGTGCTATTAAACCGTCACCTTCGTGCAAGTCTGTTTAACTAATGCTACATAAAATAATAATGTATAATTGATGTTTGTGATAGTTGTATAGCCGAATTTGCCTGATGAAAGCTTCGTTTAAGCACTCGCCTTTATCGGTTAAAATTGCCACATTTTCAGACGATCGGGTTTAATGCACATTAAGACATTTATTTAAAACCTTACTCTTATCATTTAAGTAACATTATTTTTACTATAATTCACATTTGGCCCTAGTTTAGTGCTTTACTTCAGCTCACATTGTGGAGTAAGCTGAGTCTTGTAATAAATTAAAATGTGAGATTAGCAACTTATTTAAGAGGAATTATACTCCTATAGCTTTTAATATGACGCCGCTGTATTGTAGCGTATTATCACACTAACAAGCCTTGCGTATTATTGGTAAGGAGCTTAATTCCTATATTACAATGGATATTGATTGGCGGTTGGCTAGGTGGTCTCCACGCTCACCACCGCATCCACTCCCTACACGAAGTGGCACGGCCGTACCTTCGAGTCTGTCTGAATGCGCATGAGATTCCATCGCTCAGCGGTGACGGCGTTGTATGCTCCATAGAATCAATGACACAAATGCAAATTTATTTAAACCTGCGCGTAGCACTGACGATGTCTTTCAAATTAAGGTGAAGTGAGGCAAGTAAATGATTGGCTCTAACTTTTATATGACTCCTCAAAGCTCTCCGTCTATGTGCCCGAAAAGCATAAAACCATAAATAAACAAGATTAATAGCCACACACCCTCCAGCATATCCAATTCATTCGGATTTAATGCGAAAAATTCTGGTATATATTGACAATAAAGCCGTTAGCATAATCCGAGTAGTGCTATTTTGATTCCGCTTAACTAGATTGACGAGAACCTCCCCACTAGGGATCGTTATCCCTTATTTCCATTCAATGCTCCTCAGAAGACCTCAGGGAGAGAATGGGTCTCTGTCGGACCTTGTGGAACTGTGCCAGCAAGAACTGAGTGGAAAGACACATGAGACGCTCTTGATGAAAGGGATTTAGAAAAAATCATATTTGGGTTGTTGTCTTCTTAATTTTATACCCTTACCAATAAAAAAGCAGACAAGTAGTTCGGCTTGCAAGAGCGCATACCTTTTACCAGTGGGAGAAAATCAAGTAATTAAAAAAAAGATTCCCAAGGTTGGAGAAATGGTAGAAGCAGTCAGTGCATCGTAAAATCCGCAGAGAATTTCCCTTACTAAAGCCCGTCAAGAGTCATCATTCTCATACGCAAACAGTTTAAACTGCCTGAAGTAATTTTATTATTATTGTGTTCAGTCACCAATTTTGCTCCAATCAAATGCAGCGAGAATAAGGCAAGGCAAAAAAACTTATATCTTGTTTCTTGTGCAGTGCTTAAGAGACTCACCTAACCGTGTGGTTTTAAAAGGTTAAGTTAGTCTAAGAACTCTAGATTTTAGGTTCCTGAAAGCATGAGCTTTCAGTGTGACTGTGACTGTTATTGGCTTTAATTACAACCTGGAAAAATGGAAATCATTCAATCGATGATCGCTAGTGCGATCACATTGTTTAAATCGAGTTAATGGGAAAGCAAATTCCCTAGAAGAGTAATTTTTGCATACCCAGATCAACTATTACTATCATTTTTTTCCTGACAACCTTGCGAAATTATAAGCTAAAACGAAAATTTCCCATTGTATTCCTCTGGGGAAACCCGTCACATGCTTTCTCTCCAGTTCTGACGAAGAATCGACTCCTGCCTTGGTTTTGGAAATTCTCCTCCATGTTAGAGCTTATTGAACACCATTTTATCCTACATCTCAAATTATTGCCTTTAGATTGTCTTCTTTACTGATCGACCGGACGTAATTTAATTTTGCAATAGCCATATTTTCAGGAAGTGCAGTTCAAAACGCCTCTCCATTAAAAGTTAAAATATATGTTAAGTTTAAAAGCCTGTGAATTGTAAATTTTTTGTGCAAGTTGAGTATAAGTGCAAGTAATAGCCCAACGAGGTTATTTTAGATTAAGTGGGCAAATTGTTTTCCCAAAATCCCGAATGGGTCATTTAATTAGGTCATATCTTAGCGCTGACCTTTCCACCATATCTTCATGTTGCAAGCGTGCCTTAACAACAATTTGATTAAATTCACATGCTGGTTTTCAATTCCGCTTAATTATGCAAAGTTTTTTGGTACTTTTTTCCATTCATACATTTTTGTTAGCATATTCTTAAATTTATAGGGAAAAAAATGATTAGCCTAGGAGGGAGGGGGGGGGGGTGGACTTTGTACTCCTCTTATTTTGCTTTCTCCCATGCATGCTAACAGTCATTAATCTAAAAGAGCACATTCGGAATGCGACTGGTGAGCAAGAGACAGCTTTAACCAATCGGAACGCAGCAGAGAGTTTGCTAGTGTGGAGTGCAATGCCGTTCTTCTAATTTAAAACCACATACTCTCAGTGGCAAGATCTCTTTTACGCTTATCTACTGCTGTCACTCATCAGATATCAGTGGATCAGGATGACACAGACGAGACGAGAGCTACAAGATTTCCTCCGAAGCTATGACAGCAATGGTACTGGCAGTTTTGATCGTGATAGATGGCTTCATCTCTGTGCCAGTGCGACGATCAACCTGCCTCAAGAAAGTGCAGCAGATGTCTTTGATAAATTAGATTCAGATCACGATGGTTTGGTTCGAATCGATGATTTACTACAGAGTCTGAGTGAATGGCAAAACTCAGTTAATTCAGATATTGATGACGAGGTAATCGTTGAGACTGGAAGACCTGTCGATCTAGGTCGTTTTGCAGAACTCAAGTTAGCCCAAGCGAATGGATTTCCAGTTGGTCTCTATGAATCTTCTCCCACGGAAACAGATAGAGAATTCGGCAAGAGGTGAGTTAGAGTCTTCCTAAAGAAAATCGGTTATTAATAAGCTGATCCTACATCTATTAAAAATGGTCTTTTATTCACTTCTTACAGTGGTATTATAAGTACTTGAAGGGGAAAAAATGTTTGTCGTTAATTGTAATAATTTAACTGAGGTTGGGACTAAGTAACGTTCCATAATCGAATAACAATATTTCATTGGAATCAATTTTTCTCTAATGATTCATGTCAATTTGTTTTGCGTAATAGGTTATACCCACCGTCAAGAGTTTTCTTTTACATCAAAATAGTTCAATTTGGCTCAGCGTGTAGTATTCACGATATCTCCTGTTGAGTGGCTTACGTCAGCAACTGGAGAATACCCGTGATAATTTTACCTGCCTATTTATTTCCGATACAGTTGCGATAAAATTGAATGACTCTATTCAAAGCTAATTGGTTATAAGTTGAGTCAAATGATCCACCTTTTGCTCTCAAGTCGATTAACATTTATTAGTGCATGCACCATGTGCAGGCTTTACAAGATGGGCTTATGCCTTAACTCATTAATTGCCGTAAGCATTTAAACCCCCCCCCCTAATATGATGACGCAATCTCACAGACATCACAACAAATGTTGAATTCATTGGATTTACAAACTTAGATGACAGCTTTTAAGTGTCAATGGGAATAACAGTCACTTTTAATATTACCATGGTGCCATAGGACGAGGAGTCATATGAGTTTCTGTGCTATATTTACTGAGGGATAGAAATTGTGATGTGAAGATTCGGTTTGTGAGAGGTAAATGCCGTCATTTGGGTGTAATTGGTACCACAATACACCCTTTTCAATGCTCAGTTCCCCCCCCCCCCTCTTTGTTGTTAAGTCGGACAAAAAGTCATTTGACAAGAAGGGCCTAAAAGTTACTGGTGCACATTATTCAAATTGATTGTTATTTGGTCTACTCTAATGACGCATCTTATTCGTTGATCTACTGAACTTAGGAGATTCTAATTCCTGTGACTTTTCTTTACATTTCGTGGAGGGTTTTCAATATTTAATAATATTCGGTTAGTGATAATATATCTAATATTAAATAAAAATGAACTTAAAATGCGTCTTTTTGCATCCTTCGCGATTGCTTTTCAACAAATTTGATAATCGTTTAGATCATCATGACCATTAAATTAATTTGATTTAAAGCTGTTAAATTGACTTAACATCGGTAATTAACTTGATTAGGAAAGAGGTTTAGGACCACAAAATCGAATTTTTGGTAGATTTCGACATTATAATCTAGCCTAAGAAAGAATATGATGACAACTTTAGAGAAATTGAATTGGAAATAGGAGAGGAATCATTGCCGAAGAAAATCGTATCACTATTCATCCAGCTCAAATTGGGAGGCCCCTAAAGAAAGTTCCCAGTGTTCCGCACCCGACAAATTACCACCTTGATAACCAGTTCCAAGAGTGTTTTGATCTACTGTTTTGCAAAATGGCTATCTAAATAGGTGAACATCCTTTGGAACGCAAAAGAAAAAGATTGTTAATTAGTGAACCATTGTGAAATGGTGCATAAATATATTGCTAATAATGAGCAAGCCAAAAATATTCATTCTTGTTTATATGAAATGACATTCTGATATCGGTCGTTTAAATAAGCACGTTGATACTAGTCTATTTCGGACTTTGTGGGTTAAGAAGATATTGATTGGATTTTCATGGATAAAAGTTTGTTAGGGGGGAATGAAGTATCAACGACATCTGACTTTGATATGGACTCGGTGTTGATTATTAAATTGTAAATAACATAAATAAAAGATCCCAGAAATAGTCCCATTTGCTAACAGTTGTTTTTCTTAAAAAAAAACAAGTGAAATTAAAGAACGAAATCTAATCTTAAAAGTATTTGATTTTCAGTTTAATGGAAGCCCAAAAATTGAGTAGAACCATAAGCGAATCCTACCCTGAATTGGCCGCCTCCTTCAGCCATCTGCTCGAAACCTTCAAAGAGGATATTATGCTCAAAGAGTACGAAAATGCTGATTTGGAGCAAAGCTATCAAAGGTGATGCCTGTCATTATTTCAATTTTGTTAAAATGAATCCAATATTCTATCCCCAAGATTTGAAAATATAAATTCGCATTTACGCTTATTTTCTCATAGCGTTAAGTAATACGTGTTAAAAATTGTTTTGTGCAAATATTAGCATAGAAACATGACCATTAAAGTTGTGCAAATAATGTCGTCGTCTGATTGGCGGCCAAATTATAATTGGTCGTTTCGGCTAAATTCCCATTGGTTACACAGTTTAGAAGTGGCTGCATTTCTTGACCCCTTCCATAAGACATAACTAAAGAACCAATTTAAAATAAGATTAATTAAAAATTAATTTTTTTTTCTTTATATTTAGAGAAAAGCAGGCAAGAAAGGAGGATATGCGGAGACTAGAAGAGGAATTAGATGCTCAGATTCAGTTGGCCGAAGAGAAACTGAGAAAAGAAGTGAGTTATGTTTCCACATCGTCTAAAAACAACATAATTCTAATTGTGGATTGTAAGTAAATTGTCGTTTTTTACTTCAATTAGACAAGAAGTACATTTAGGGAAAAGACAAATTCGGAGAATTCGTTTATGCATTTCTATTATTTTTATATCTGACGGCGTAAACACAATAAAGTTTGAGTATTGAACATTTATTGATGTTTAGCACAACATATATATTTTTAAAGCCTGCCGCTTTTCGATTATCTACGAAATTTTTAAGGTTATCATTCTGCTCTAAATTGGGTAACTTTTATGAATGAAATTTACCGTCACAGAGGAAGAAATTGCTCGCTTTCTCTTCTATATCACGGAATCGTGCAGGGCTAACAGTTGTCAAGCCGTGTTTGAGGACTTTTCCAAGTTCTTTGGAAGGAGAAATTTTTCATTTCTCATTTTGGATGTAGGAGTGGGATGTTAGAACCTATTTTCTGGTAAAATTTAATCCTCCCACCCATCTCATGACATGTATATGCTTCACCGATGTTATCTCGATGGTTAGCAATCCTTCAACCTTCGATTTTGTAGGCCCACGCGTTGTCATAGCGCTTGCTGAATCATATAACACAATTCAGCTATACAGTCCTAGCAGGCATACTGCCAGGAGTCAGGTATCGTTTACTTAAAATGGTCACGATCCAAAATAGCTTGAAGTTCTAATTTTTGAAGGTGGTGCTTTCAGTGTCACAAGATTCCTTAACCTAGTTAGAAGTCAAGCAAGTCTAGGCAGACTCATATGGGTGCACTTAAAACGATGGAACACTCTTTTGGTAAATTGTTGTTTAATGAGAAACTGATGTTAGATCATGTGTTTTAGTCGGTTCCAAATGGTTTATCGGTTCGCAAAACGTAATTTAATTGAAGAAGAAAGAGATAATAGGAATCGATTAATGGAATTCAGTATTTTCTTCTACAAATTTCTCGGTCAACGTTTGTAGAAATCGATTAGCATTTTCTCCTATTTTAAGATATTTTTCATGATTTTTCGTCAATATTTCTTTTGGCTGACCTCAAATTGCTGCTAACATTATAGCCTGGTAGTTTCTTTAGCTCTTCCTGCAAAACTGACGGTGCATCTTTCAACACAAGTTTTGAAACTATTTATTTATATCAAATGGCAGGCGTTTTGATGATTATCATTAGCTCCTTAGTTGACCTAAAGTTTCTCAGAGAAGAAGGAACATCAAAGTGACAAAAATCAAGAGGGCGGGTGGGGGGGGGAACAGAAGAGTGTTTCAAAGACGTAAAAGAGACAGACACAAAGGTAAAAATAATGTGAGGTGAGTACTGTGGAAGTAGTCGAATTTGACAAACGGTGGGGTTACGATAGTTTGAAGTCAGAAGCTAACTGCCGAATAATAGACTTTTTTGCCGTATGAGAATACGTTGCCCAGGATGCACCACATGGAGGTAAGTCTATCGCACACCCCATTTTGAAAATATTTATTTCAAATGGCAGGCTTTATGATATTTATCATTAGCCCTTAATCTTTGACTTCAGCTTCCCCCAGGAGGGGGGGGGGGTACATTTATTGCAGTTAATTAAGAGCAATTCATAAGCTGTCTTCTTGCTTCTCAGTATCTTCGGCTTTCCGTCCTTGTCTTTAGGGCTGGACACCGAATCAGGTGGGTCTTCTCCATTTCCTCCTGTAGGTTACATAGAGGGCATGTGGGTTGAGTGTATATTCCCAATCTGTGAAGGTGTTTTGCCAAGCAATCGTGGCCAGTACGTTGTCTAAACTCAGCAACGGCTTCGATTCTTGGCCAGTCGGGTATGTCGGAGAGTGCCACTGTCCACTGTTTCTTCTTTGTTTGAGCTTTAATTTCGTCAAACCTTGAGCTATAGAATTCTCTCCTGATTAAGTCCTTCATTGTGTGGAAAGACATCGGACGGTTCATGCATTGCAAAATCGTTGTCCCCTTCTTAGCAAGTGCATCAGCAAGCTCGTTGCCTCTAATGCCACAGTGTCCAGGAATCCATTGTAGAACCACTGTTTCGTTCTTTCTCTCAGCAGCTGATAGAGTTTTCTGCATTCCTTTATCTCAGCTGTTTTGGGTGGCTCTCTGCTTCCAATTGAGCTTGCATGATATACTCCTTTCTTGGTTTGGAGGTCTTATTTTCAACTATGCGGCTTATCAGGACGCGAGTAAAATTTTTAAAAATTCAAACTTCCAAATTTTTCATTTTTCCTCTCCACTCCTATACCTCAAAAAATCACTACCATTCGCCAGTCTAGTTTTGTGACAATGCCCACATTGATTCACCAGTTGCATATTTTCCGCTTTTTTAAAACTACCCAATCAGTGGTAGTATTTTCCACCCCCCCCCCCCCTCCATTGGGAAATGCGGGGTTTGTGTCGGGTTTTTTTTTAAAGCTGGTCAACCGCAGTGTTTGCTTCAATTGGTTCATCTTAAAAATAGTAATAAACAAACAATAAAATTAGCCAAACACATAATTTTTCTGCCTAATCCAATAAACATGTTATTATAATCTTTGAAGAGAAAAGCGTTGGGGAAAATTGGTCATCTTATCTGAGCATTCCATAAAATCGCTTGTATACGAGTCCTTTAGTCATATATCTATTAAATAATTTAAGAAAAAGTACCGCAACTTAGGCCAATTCCACCGGCAGGTTCTTGAATTCTAACTTTCAGGGAAGAAAGGCGAAACGGGGTATTTTTGGAACGAAAAAGATTCAATCACTCCGCCTCCATTTCCTATCACAGTTTGATTTTCATATTCAGTGTTTATCGATTTTTTCTAATACTTTGATCTTACCGTTATTAGTAATCTATTGATTTAGCTAATTCAATTCCACATTTATAATTATTGAAGTACTTACATCATTTACTGCGTCATTACACTTTTTCAACTCGATTTTAACAACAGTTAGAAGACGTGGCTCTAGTATGCTGCAAGTTAACTTTTTAAATTGTATGGAGATTCCATTTTTTTTCTATTCGTGCAAGTTGAGCTATTTTGACTTCGAAAGACTGAATTTTGGAGGGACTTTTAGTATTTCGCTCTTAATGAGATGCACATTTCCACTTTACCTCGAGGACAAATAAGTACATCCTCCTTAATGTAAAATTTGTTTTTTTAATACCTTTTTCTATTCCAGAGCTAATTTTACCATGGAATCGTCGAACTAATCTATAGCTCATATTATATAATAGTGTGCATTTAGAGTGAAATTTGATTAGTTTTTCAGTGTTTGCCTTTATTAAAAACATGTCTAATGTGTCCGTACTTCGTCTCCATTTGAAGCTTTGTTTCTTTCCTTAAAAAAAGTTAATATTTACTAATCTGTTTAAGTTTTTTCTTTCATGACGTCTTTATTTTCATGCTAATTGGCTTAGAACCTGTACATCCGCTTTCCTGAACTGATACAATTTTAATTATCCATGTCTACACTTCACTTTCCATATAAATATATCGCCAACTAACGTTGCAATAATTTTGAACGATTCCTTAGCCCTCATCCTCTTTAGCAAATATGGAGCAAACAATGCCCCAGAGAAAGTCTCCATCGCCGCCTTCACTATTGTATGGAAGGATTGAGTCATCGTGGTGCACAGAAATTTATCAGGACCGCCACTGGGCACCGATGCCCTAGTTAATTTTTGCCCTCTCTATCTACTCCCAGTCCCACCACCAACTGTTCGTGTTGAGTCATCACTGGAAGCTCTTCTAACTCCCCCCCCCCCTCCCTCCTCCCTTCCCTTTTGCTGCGTGCGTTTCCCAGTCAGAGAGAGAGAGAGAGGTAGCGGTGCGTGAAAAGTTTAATCAGTTCATCCACCACTCCCTCCCCCCTCCTTTCACATGCGCTTGACTGGGCACGCCTTGGAAAGGTGGAGTGGGGGGAGAGGCCTTAATTACTATCACCCTGCACTGTGATACTACTGATTAACTGGGACATGTGCCCCCTCCCCCTCCTAATTGCGAGTGTGCGTTAGGCAAGAGATTGGACCACGTGCGATATTACTTCCTTCGTGTAGCCAATTTGGCGAAGATTAGGGGTCAG